TGAGACTGAACTGTTGTTGCAGGTGCAACGTAACAATGAGCAGGCGCTTGCCACGCTCATGCGTATACATTATGATGCGCTCTATAATTATGCTTCCCGTTTTTCTGATGACCAAGGCCTGATCAAAGACAGTATCCAGGAAGTTTTCATCAGTGTTTGGCAGCGGAGAGAAACAGCACATAAGATTTTATCTGCCCGTTATTACTTTCTTCGTGCGGTGAAGAACAAGGTGCTTAAAGCGCTTTATAAAAAGAATAATACTACGCTTGTATCACACCAGGGAGAGTCGGATTCGTTTTATGAATTTTCGATAGAGCATATCATTATCGAAAGGCAGGTGAGTGAAGAAAAGAGCGAGAAACTAAAACGTATGCTGACGATGCTTTCCAAAAAGCAGAAAGAGATCATTTACCTTAAATATTACCAATACCTCGATCATGCGCAGATTGCGGAGCTGATGAATCTCAACCGCCAATCGGTATACAACCTGCTCCACGAAACGATCCATAAGCTGCGCAACCTGCTACAGGCAGAGTACATTGCGCAATAATTTCTTCCTTTCTAACTAGTTGATTTTCATTAATTAATTTCAGTTCCTGAACTTTTTTTTGAAAAAGGACAAGGAAATCCAGTAGGATTTGCCGGCTGATGGGAACCTGTATAAGATAACTATGCTTATGAAGGATTTCAGGCTGTTTAATGTGTACGATTTTATGATGGATGAGGATTTCATCCGGTGGGTCAAGCTTAAGAAGAAAGAAGACAATGATTTTTGGAATAACTGGCTCGAACTACATCCCGACAAACATATTGTGATAGCGGAAGCCAAAAGTATTTTGGAAGCTTTTGGTAAACCTGGAAGTCCTGTCGATGCAACGGAGAAGGAAACCGAGATCAGCAGGATGCTTAATACGATCAAGGCGGGTGTTACCCAGGAAGCCGAACCCGCTCCAGTTATTGAACTACCCACTCGCAGAAAATGGTGGTATGCCGCTGCTGCTGCTGTACTCATTACCATATTGGGGTCAACTGCCTACTTCCTTCTTGCTTCGAAAGCTACTCTCAAAGTGTATGATTACGCAAGAGTAACTCCTTCAAAGAGACTGATTGAAAATGTAAATACTTCAGATAAACCTGTTCTACTGAGACTGCCCGATGAGAGTACAGTCAGGTTAGCGCCTAACAGCCGGATCGCTTACGCTAATGATTTCGACAGTTCAGTCACACGCGATATTTATTTACTTGGTGAGGCTTTCTTTACTGTTACCAAAAATCCAGCGAGACCATTCAGGGTGTTTGCAAATGAAATTGTAACGAAGGTACTCGGAACCAGTTTTACAGTAAGGAGTTTTGAGAAAGATAGTATTATCCGGGTGGTTGTTAAGACAGGTAAGGTGAGTGTTTACTCCCAGGAAGCGGTAAAAGAAACGGAAACACCAAATCGTCTCGGCGGAATAATTGTATCACCTAACCAGGAACTGGTTTACCAAAAAGAGCAGCAAAAATTCCAGAAGGTATTATTGGATAATCCCCTGATGATCGTTCCTGATATCGCCGATAAGAACCTTGTATATGATGATTA